TTCTCCCCACGGCAGATTTTGAGGGTGTGAAATGCCGTTTTGCTCTTTCAGCAGCTCTTTTGCATTTTTAGCGGGGGAATTCGTCCCGTGTCATTGCACTGAGAGATTCTGTAAGTTTTTGCTGTGCTGTTGATACCTCCCATAGAGAATCAGCTGCACAAAGTCACAGCAGCTCATGCATGGGGCTCTTCAGGTTCACAATTATGACTGAGTGTAAAGAAGGTTAAAAAAGGAAAGTGCATCTGACAGGAAGGAGAATAGAACAGATGTGGCTCAAAACAAGTGACATTTAAAAAGTCTCAAAAAGCACTAAAGGTGATTCACAAACCAGTAATCTCCAAATGGCCTGTGCTACTATTCCCTTATTTTTGGGGCAGAAACATAAAGGATGTACTAGTTTGCTTTCTCTGTATCACAGTAATTGAGGCGCTCCCACCATGAACAACTTTATTTTCTGCTCATATGTTCTATACAAACCTCCTTTGCCACACCTGGACAGTTTCACCTGAATTTCCTGGGTCTTTATTTACACTCAGCTAGCTCTTCAGCCTCCATCTAGAGCAACCTGACAGCTCTACTACTGAAATATTTTGTGCATATGGTAAGTGTAGGATATCCACCTGTAGTACGTATAACAAGGGCCACAGTGATCCACTCAAGGTCTCCACTGATCACTCAGTATCCATGATCCATTAGCAAGCAGCTCTTTATTGATCACAAGAGTCTCAGGGCAGGGACAATTTGGTTTACCCAGAAGCCAGGCTGCAGGGCACTGGACCAGATTTAGTAGCAGCCACTCTTCAGTCTTCTCTCATGTGTCTGGCAGGAAGGAAAAATTGCCACTGGCAATTAAATGGTTCAGGACAAACATCTGTGGGATAATCTGGTCCTCTGTTATGGCATTTATGGCTCAGGCATGCAGCTGTGTCTTTTTAGAGTTTGTCTTCATTTCTAGAGGAAAGATACAAAAATATGCTGCAAGGATTTTTATTATTATGACAGGAATCTATAAACCTGGTTTCTGTAACTATGCACACACCCAAACCCCTTTAAAAACTTTGTTAGTTTCTTGATCTGAATCAGCTAAGGGGTGGCTGAATAAGCAGGGAATTAATAAAATAAAACCTGATTTAAAGGACAAAAATGAGTCAAATTTCTCCTTGCCTGCTTTGAAACAAGAAACCTTTCCAGTTCTTGGAAATTGAGTGTGGAAGACTGAATACTGCAGCAGTAGAGTCTCAGGTCAGCCACATCCTCCCTGTGTGGGTTTTTCCATGTTCTTGAATATTTCTTCCAATTGCTAATTAGCTTAATAAGAGGTGGGTAAGAAGTGAGTGATCCTAGTTATGCTTTCAGGGGAGAAACCAGGCTGACACAAGCTTCCCAAGGCAATCAAGCCCATTTGAGCTGTGGGAGGTTACCCAGCCTGGGTTAGGAAGGCACAGTGCTCTGGCTGCTGGGAGAAGGTCTGTGTCCTGAGGCTGCAAGATGGCCTCATGGGGAAATGCAGGGATTTGTAGATGGGTGAGACATGTGAGGAGCTGGCAAAACATGGATGAGAGGTGCAGCATGGAAGGGGCAAGCTGCACCTGAGCTATAGCATAGACAACCAGTGTCACTGGAAACTGAAGAGCTTTTAGAGGAACATTTCCACTAGAAGCAGGGGAAAGCTGACAAATACAGAGGAGTATCTAGTTTGAACTCACGTGATCTGCAAGGTGAACGAGGCTGATGTTCAGTTTACCTCTGAAAAAAACATGAGGGGAATAAACAGCACAATCACAATAGGTGAGAAAGACAAAATTAACAGAATACAGTGGCAAGGGCAATATTAAGCAACAAATCAAAGACAAACTTGCAGGTGTTTTTGTACAGTTGCTAGAGACTTCAAAATCAAGCCAGAACACAAATGCCTGGACCAAATGACAGCCCTGACACAGAAGGTGTCTAAGAGTCTCAGTGGAGGCTAGAAAACCAATGAGATACAGCACTGCCAGCTTCATAGGAACCACTGAGGAGGATGTGGAGGTGTGATGCTGTATGTAGAGGGATGCTCTATGTGAAGGATTAAAATGTTACAGCATAAAAATACAGGAAAAGAAAAGCACCCTAAAAACCTGTGGGTGGAAATCCCAGTTGCTACTGATAAAAATGCTGTAGTAGGACTGTACTATCCTTTTTCAGTTCTGTGACAGTGGTCAGTGAGGCCAGAGGAGCAGTAAATGTGGGATGGTGGCATGGGTGGGGGCCTGCACACTGGCTGGATCAGTGCTTCATCAGGAGGAGGTGCAGAAGCAGAATTTTTGGTTGCAATAAATCCTGGCTTCTAGGAGGAGCTGGTTGAAGAACTGACAGAAACAAATGGTAGAGTGAGGCACAAGGATTTTGTGGAGGCATAGAATGTAAGAAAATAAAGATTGTGCAGAAGGTAGTCTCACACCTGAGGAGTTGCAGCTGTACTAATCACCAAAGATTAGGAACAGGCTTGCCCTTAGTAGGCCACAGATGTGTCCAATAAGATGAGTGCTACAAAAGAGTGGGTTGGATGAGAGGAGATCTGGGGTTTTGTTGGTTGTGCTGTGAAGAAGGAGTCAGGGCTGCAATGAGATGCCGATGAGAAATCCCCAAGAAGGTATGGGAGCTTCACAATAAGATGACAATAGGATTTTGTGTGAGAGATGTTGGTGGGAAACTACTCTGAGGTTGCAATCCTACAATGTGATCTCTTTTAACACTGAAATGGGAAAAAGCAGGTCATATGCATCCAATCTGGGAGTATTCAGTTTCCAGGAAGGCAATTAAATAACCTGAGGCAAGCATTCAAAACAGTTACCCCCAGCTGCAGCACTGGCTCCATGGGGGTCCCTGGGACCGCAGGCTGGTGCCTGTCCTGGGCAGTGTAAGAGGCTCTGTCCTGGCTAGGAAATCCCAGCCCAGTTTTGTAACGAGTAACAAAGCAGAACAAACGCAGTTATTCAGCACTGCCTTCATGTGCTGGTGTTTCCCTTTGTTTTCTGCATATCTTGGAGATAGGCACAGACACGTGGCTCAAACAGATCCAGCTGCAGCATTTGGAATCAGCCATCAGAACAATCTGCTCTCCCACGTAGCTTAGGGCTCTGACCCAACAGGGACTTGGTTTTGACAGTGTTTTCCTGCTGCTTCAGTTACTGCTGAAAGAGGGGGTTTAATTGGTCCCTCTGCCTGGTTTCTATGAAAACCAGTTGCTGCAGCTCCAGTCTCCAGGCAGATCCCTGCCTGAGCCACGGAGGGATCAGCCCGTGCCACCTGCAGCTTAACAAGTTGATGAGTGAGAAAAACTCCACCTCACACTTGCTCTTTGCTGTAGGAAGCACATTTAAATAAATTTCCCAGTAGTAACATCAGTTGTAAAACCAAATCAGAGGTCCCCAACAAAGAAGGGTTTTTCTTCCCAGTCTGCAATTTGTTTTCCATTTGCTGACTGCTGATTCTGATTCAGCAGTGTTAACTTGGAAAGGGCCTTAAACAACACCTATTGCATTTCCCCTCTCTGCAAAACATGACTGCAAAGCGGGCAGGTTTAGGGTTAGGAAGAAAGTCTTTCCTGTGAGTGTGGTGAGGCCCTGGAATAAGTTGTCCAGAGAAGTTGTGGATGCCCCATCCTGAGAAGTGTTTGAGGCCAGGTTGGACGGAGCCCTGAGCAACCTGGTCTAATGGTAAGTGTTCCTACCTATGGAAGGGGAGTTGGAACTTGGTGATCTTTAAGGTCCTTTCATCTCAAACCATTTTGTGGTTACATATGATGTACGGCAACTTTTACGTGTTGATCTGGAATGTTGTTTAAAACACCTACAAAATTGCTTCGTTATCCTGAAAGTTTTTTTTTAATTATCCAACAAATTTGCTGCTAAACTCACTGCTATTTGTCTTGCCCTCAAGGGGAATGGAAGCTGGTAGGTCCTTGTCCTTTGTTTCTTTTGTATATTAGAAAATCATAACTATGTGCTTTCTCTCTCTCTCTTTTTTTTTTTTTTTTTTGGGTCAAGGGGAAGATCTAATTCCTTATTTCCACAGGCTGTACTTTCCATCAGGGTTGTGATCATCCTGAGCATATTTTTGTTGGTGCAACAGGCACAAACACTGTTGCCAAGCCTCACTGACTGACAGCTGAATAGCTGAGAGAAGTGTTACCCCAGGTGCTTCACACACAGTGCTGTAACAAAGATAACCTCACAAATGAGATATTCCTTCTTTTTTATTTCTTCTGTCTTTGACATCAACTTTGCTTCCCACCAGGATTGCCAGCCCTTTCTGTGGGATGGTTGCTCACCTCCTACACTGCTGCTTGACCTCATCGAGTGTTTTGCACCTGTGTTTAATTGATTCCTGTGTTTGGTTCCTTACAGGTTTTCACAGTTTCTAACCACAATGGAAGTGCTCATGTTTCCTCTCCGTGTAGCCCATGGTTAGATAGCTCACATCCTCCATTCATCTTCTGACTGCAAATTTCAGTGACAATGCTCTCGGACAGACTTGTGTATATCCACTTGGAAATCTCATGAGTTTGGCCAGAAGCTACTGCTAACCAGTGCTTTTTCCACTTATTTTAAAGCCCTTCACATACGAGGGAAATTCATATTTCTGCTGAAAGCATTATCACCCTCATGTTATGGCACAACCATGGCCTCTCTCTTGGCCACTTACCCAGTTAGATAAAGATTTTAATTGATCTGAGATGGCTTCTCCCTTCCAAGCCAGGCTGCCAGCACCCTCCTGACAGCTTCTTGCTGCTTTGTTGTCCCACAGGATCTCCTGAAGGAGCCATTCAATCCTTTACTCTAGCACCTTCCTCAGTATTTCAGGCAGGTGTCTTGGTCTTTGATTCCCTGGAACTTTTTTTCCCCTTTGCTTTGGCTTTTCTCTTTCCTTGCTTGTGCTTCTGCTTTTTCTGATATGTTACTTGGTACTAAATAATTTGCTTTGCAAGATGTCTGTTGTTTTGGGTTTTTTTTCAACAGGCCATGGGTCAAAAGGGTGACCAAGAGTGCGACTGCAGCTGCTCTGTCTACATCAGGCAGAAAAGGAGCTTCCAGCAACATGGACAGAGGTGACCAGAAAAGATCAGAGAGGAGCAACAATCTGAACTCATTATTTGTCAGGAAACCTTTTGCTCAAATCTTAAGGCAGCATGCTACTGTTAAACTTTCCCTGTTTATTTGCTCCTTACTACCAACTTATCAAGCTTCAACTAATTTTCTGCAGAGATTTTCTGTATTTGCTACAAAGTGCTGGTACCCTAAAACAAAATTTGGAACAAAATATGGAATTTCCATAATTTGGAATTTTAAATAGACTTTAAAATCTAAATAATCCTTTGTGGTGACGCTGCACAACTCAGCAGGCAGGTCTGCAGGCCCTTGGGTGTTGCTACCACAATATGAAGCAGCAGCTTCATAGCTTCAAATTGGGCTCCTGAGGAGCTCAGAGATCTGCAGGGGTGGCAGCACCAATAGTGCTGACAAGGAGCTTCTGGCAGCAACTGGGGATGACGTGAAGGCAACCAAAGAAGGCTCCACTCTTCTTCACCCTTGGAACTCAAGCCCCAGCTTTGTACACAAAGTCAGCAATGAGATTCCCTGCCCCATGTGAAATTTTTACTGATCTACCAAAAATTCATTCGTAGGCTTTACATAAGAGGTTTATGTAACATAGGTTTACATAACATAATGCACCAAAGGCTTCATCCTATGAATTTTACAGAAGTAATGCTAAGTAAACAACAATTATGATACATTTCATAAGTTTGTATTACAAAGTAATTATTTTAGTAAAATTATATTAATATAGTGCAGATTTCATTAAGGACTAATTTCAATATCTGTGTTGCTCAGCACTGAACTGTTTATGGTAGTCTTAAAAAAGAAATCAGTGACATTTGTGACAACATAGGGTTCCCTCTGGTCTCCAGAGGTGATAAAATTAATTTGCTTGTAATGTATGTTAATCATGCAGAGTCCTTGCCATGATGGTAAGCAGATGAGGGACTGGCAAGACAAGGGGCACAGTGTTAAAAGTGCCCTGCTGGCAAAAGCTGCCTCCAGTCCAGCTCTCATGCTGCCTGTGTTGACCCTGCCTGGCAGCCCAAGCACAGGCACAGCACTGCCCCTTGCTGCCAGGCAAGGACTGCCAGGAACATCTCTTCTGCATCAGCAATGGTGGCAGCTGGAAGAAAAGTACTCTGACGCCTCCAAAATGGTTATTTGAAAGGCTAAATGTGAACATTCCTATTACCATGTTCACAATTTTGGGTCAGCAGCCAGACTCAGCCCAGCTCTTCTGACCTATCCGGTCTGCAGCACCGTTATCCTCTCTCTGTTCTCAAATTGAGTTTTAGACCCTTCCAAGAGTCCTGAATGGGGTTATTTACTCAAGCTGTACCCACAGCTACCCACTGAGTCCCATGAAACTGAAAAAAATAAACATTGGGATTTAACATTTATCTTTATTTCTGTCTTATTCTCATTATTGTTCTCTAATTAATAAATTGGCACCAAGAGACCCATCCACTTTCAAACAGACCAGAGCTCATTCACTTCTATTAGAAACTGGGATTCCTGGCACAGGGACAGATGCTGAAATGCTTTTAAATTTGGAGGAACCTCAGCATAAATATGCCAAAGTTAAAACAGGAAAGTTGTGGGGTTTTTTACCAAAACTATTGCTGTGATATGGTTGCTGGTGTGGGTACTTATGGGGCTGACTCCTGCTCCAAGAGCTGCTCACTGATGGAAAGCCATTTTGCCTGCTGTGGCACTTGCAGTATTTTCCATATAGATGCCCTGATGAGGTCCCCAGCTGCACCATGGCCATGGATTCAGGAGACAAACCAAAGATGTTTAGTATTGTTCCCCTGAAGGCTGGCTACAGGAACACTCAGCTACTGCAGAGACCACTGAGAAATCTCTTCATTGCTCCTTAGCCAGCAGCACCAAGGCAAGGAACACAGGCTATTCATGCCCTGTTTTGGCCATGGAGAGGAAAGAAGGTGGATGCAGATGGGAAGAGCACAGCTGATGCCCAGGGAGAGCTGTTTGTATCCATGTCTGGGAGATGCACAAACAGCCCTGGGGTGCAGCTTTGAACAGGAAAAGTCAGCTTCCTCACTCAAAATTTAAACATTGCTGATATGTCCCCATCTGCCTTTCAAAGGCCCTGAGCTGGTGGGATCTCATCCCTGGGGATCTCCTGGAAGTCAGTGCTGAGCTTGCCCATCAGTGAGCAGGGGGCTGGGATTTGCTGGAGCGAGCAAGGTGGCATTGGCAATGCCACCAGCATCGGTCCTGCCAGGAGACCTGAGGAACTGCTCTGGGTACTACAGCACTGGGCTGTAGTGGGTACTACATCCCTGCTGGGCCAGTCTGCAGAGGGGAGGCTCCGTGGTGGGATGGGTTTGAGACCTAGAACCCATTTCTCTTAAAGTACTGGGCTCTCCTAATCACGCTGTTGACGTAGTTGTAGTCGCTGCTGCACGGGTCTGCCTCGTAGACCTGGACATTGCCCATTCTGGCATGGTAGGTGCAGATTCCCCCTGGAAAGAGTTAAGAAGTTGTTATGGGCTTGTAAGTAAGAAATAGGGATTTAAGAGCAAAAATTCGTTGCAAAAAACCACCATGCATCTCATCAAACAGGAACTGCTTGACAAAGTGCAAATTGTGCATTATTGTTGAAAAGTGACTGATTTTGTAAAATCTTTATTGCTGTAGTGAAGGAAGCCATGTCTCTCTCCAAATGCAGGTGTAAATGGAACACTGTTACCAGGAAAGGGTGTAATCAGAGGAAAGGAAGGGCAGTAGCAGAGCAAGGAAGGGAGAGTAAGAAATAGCATAGGGTGAACAAACCAGCGCACAGCATAGACTACAAGGAAACCTGGATACAACTTAACAGGTTGCCACAATAATTCTGTTGTGTTGTGATACCTCAGTTTCTGCATTCTCCAGTGACTTTTCTTTAGTTGCTTTCTATCTTATTTATCCATCTAACAGCTATTTCTCATTGCCAGTCTGCTGGTCTGGTACTGCTTCTGTTAAACTAGAAAACTTTGGTTCTGGTTGTTATTTTGGGGCTTTGGGGGTTTATTTTGTTAGTTTGGGGTTTTTTGTGGGGTTTTTTTTTTGGTTTTTTTGGTTTTTTTTCATAAGAGATGCTGTAAAATCTGCCAGATTGATGCTCCTTTTCCCTTAAAAGTGACACCAACAAGAACACAGCACTCCCATCAGTCGGTCTGTCCCTCCCTAGTCCAAAGCCCATTCCGTACCTCTCAGCTGCCGGTCCCAGGACCAGGTAGGATGTCTCGCCCGTACTTCATTAATGGAAAGAACCAGGATATTTGAGCACTGATTTATGTGTTCTTCACTATCCCACGTCACAGAAGGTTGCACTTGCTGCCTGCTGATCTAGGAAAGACAAGCAAGAAAATGGGTTTCCCTCTGAATGCCTCCCCCTCTTCGTTGCCTCCCAGGCTTTGACTCAATGAATGACCTTATTCAGGACAGCCTTGGATACAGAGGGATGGCAATAAAGAGCTCTTTCAAACACAGAACAGTGATTTGCTGAGATAAAGCCCTGGGGTGTGCACTACATTACTGTTGCTCACGCTTGTCACCCTGGAGTACCTGCATCAGGCCGTACTTCTGGCGCGCGCGGTCCCAGCCGTTGTCCAGGAGCAGGCCCACACGGCTCTCCTGGGACATGATGGCACCGATGAGAGCTGGATCCAAGCACAGGTTTCTGGCTACTCTCTTAATTGGGATCTCGTATCTCCTCAGGCGTGGCAGGTCTGCCTCAGCCGTCCTCCGTATCATGGCATATCCTGCTGCGTAGGGAAAGGCAGATTTACACACAGCCCTGCCCAAACCCCTCGCTTCCCTGTGAGCAGGTGTGTCAAAGGAGTACTCAAGTGTTCAAGAAATCGCATCTACATCAAGTTGGGCAGTAGGTTTTGAGGAACAAGCACAGCTCTAACTATGGCCAGGGAGCTGCTGTTCCACTAGCCAAGGATGACCAGGAAAATAGGGAGGCTTCTTAGGAAGTGGAATGCATGGTCCTCTTCTTCTGCTGCACCTCTGTGTTGCAGTGTGATGTCGTGGTTTGCCTCAGATACCCCAGGTTCCTCCCTGCCAGGTGTGTCAATCATCCCTCCTTTCCACACCCTGACCCCTGCTGAGCGCTGTCTGTCAGTCCTGGCATTCCAGAAGGGCATCAAATGATTGGCAGAATTCAAAAGATACCTTTCACCCCTGGAGAGACATTGAGCCATCCAGGTGTCATTTGTCTCCTGAGACTTCCCCCCTACCTGGTTGGTGGTCCCTCGTGCCCCTTCCCTCCCACTCTCCCCGGGTTAAAAGGAACAACAACCACACAGTTCAGAGTCCTGTTGGAGCTGTTATTGCATTCAGAGGCCTGTGTGCCAGGAATAAAGCTCTGGATCGAAACCCTCCATCAGAACCAACTCCTTTCCTTCATCCTCACCTTAAAGCTTCTCTGCCAAGGTAAACCTGAGCTCCTGCATGCCTGGACTTGTCCCAAGCGCCCAGCTGCAGCATCCAGCTAGCCAAAGGTGTCTCTGAGGTGAAACCACCACAGTTGCTGCCTTTTGGTCAAGCAGCAAGGGCCAGACGAGCCCAGGCACATTCCATCCGGCTATATTGGTATTATTCCAAAACCTCTGGAGTCAGAGAAGTGAAGTTTTTAAATGGATTTGAAAAAATTGAAGGGTGTATTACTACAGATTGTCCACATTGCAGTAACAGCTATGTTCTATCTCTAGGAAGTGGGGGCTTTTATAAAGCAAATTTGGAACAGTTTGTAAACAAGCAAGCAGGTTCAGATCTATTCTTGAACTCTCACAGTCAGGTGTCTGCCCTGGAAAAGTCTACATCCAAGGAACATGGAGATATCAGCAGTAGGAATGTGACACAGTCAGCTGTGTGCTCACAACAGGCAGTAGCACCAGGCAAGAAAGAGAGAAATGTGAAGCACACCATGCCAGCACTCAGGACCTGGCTCTGTGTATCCTACCCTGGGAGCAGACAAGTCCTGGAGGCTGATGCTAAAGTCCTGGCTGATGAAGAGGCTGTTTTAACTGAAAAGAGGTGGTACTATTTCCTTTTCCTTTAAGGACAAAGATCCTGACTGTGGCACATGAAGTTTGTCTTTCCACTTCCCATCAGGTCTGAAGGCTTCACCTGCTCTTTTGGGAGAGGAAGTGTTGCTTTCTCCCTTTTGGCTGTTTGAATAGCTGCACCACATTTAGTTTGGCAATGGCAGGAGGTAAGGCATCTCTCTGTCAGGTACAAACAAGTTGATAAATAAAGCAATGAATGATACATACCACAGTCAGAGGCTCTTACAGGTGTACAGGAGACCGTGGGGGCTTGAAGAGCACTTATATCACCATAGCAACTGTAACTCAGGGATGGAGCTGAAATATGAAACAGAAGTGTTTGAACACAGAAGGTCTCAGAGCAGTATTGTTCAAGTCAAGCATGAGAGAGCCCAGACCTGCAATCCACATCCCCTTGTGTTGGCCCTGCTTGTATGGTTGCCACTGGTCTCCATCAGTAATATTATCAAAGAAAGGTGGAGAACAGAAATTGGTTCTTTTCTAATTGAATATTGAAGCAAATGGATCTAATGACTGTTTAGATGAACATGCACCTGCCCTGTTAGGTCTAGAGGCTGGTGTGGGAGAGGAGAACCAGAGCCTCTGCATTTATTTCAGATGGCAGTTCCCATTCAATGCCCCTCAGTGTTTGGACCCACTCAGATGATGGCTGGTGGTCACTGGGCACCCTGGCTGGGATTGTCTGCTGTGTCCCTTGATCAGCTGGTGAAGAATTAATTCAGGAGAATGCTTGCCTCAGTCTGGGAAAATTTCCCTATTTCCCTTGTAACTGAGGGACAAATAGCCTCTATCAAACAGATCACTTTTGTGAGACCATTTCTGAGAAGGCAGGGAGATTGGATAAGGTTAGCTGGGAAAACCAAGAGGAGACATGGCTGTGACTCCCTTGGTTTCAGTCTCATCTTGCAGATGGTCTGCTTTAAAAGGCATATGTGGGCAGCAAGGAGCCTCATACAGCAGCTGAGGACCTTCAGCCACACCAGATCTTACAGGGCCATGCAGGAAGGGAGCCCCAGGCCTACTGCACTTCCTCTCCAAGGTCTTTCCACAAAAAATTCCCAGTGTGCTTTTGACAGCAACCCAAACCTGTCTTACCAACAAGGGCCGAAAGACCCAGCAGCAGCAGTGCAGGGATCATGGTGATGGCTCTCCTCAGCTGTCCCAGGAGACCTGGAAACACATGGTTTGCAAAACATGAAGAAATTACTGATGATTTTCAGCAGCACTCTAGCAAAGTTGGCATGCCAAAAGCTTCCACCCTGAGGCACCCGACAGGGATGGCCTTAGCTGAAGAGGAGTTGTTCAGCAGAGGAACTTTTTCCCTTTGGGGAGGTTGGGACCAGGGTTGGTTCCTTGGACTAGCAGGGGCCTTTTTTAGCCCCATCAGTTGTCATTGCTTGCTCATACAGCCCCTCCTGAAATCCCATGGTGTGTCTTTATGATGAGCACATCCACTAACTTTGCTTTAATTTTACAGGTGTTTGAAATCTAATGTGCTATTAAGTGCACACAACCCCTGCCTCCCTATTCAAAAAGGATTTTTTTCTTGGCTCTTGGAAAAAACTTGTTTTCAAAAATCAAGAACTATGATCCTTAATACTCTGCTAAGAACATGCAAGGCAACTCCAGCATTTATCTGGTGAAATAATACTTCTCTGTGTGATAGTGGCAGATAACCACTTTACTAATAAATGTGTATGTTGTGCCTATTAATAAAATTCCAAAATATAATCAGATTATAGCTATCAAATGCAAAAAAAATTGACTGTATTTGCCTTGCTGATGAACACATTTAAACTGAGCAGCTTTTATGGCTTATAAATATTTGGGGTTTTTTTTCCCAAGAAGATTTCAAACACAAAATACACCACGAATCTTGTAGGCAATTCACACTAATCCTGTTTAGAATTATCAGTTAAACATTAAAACATTAAACATTATCAGTTTTAATAGCATATGTGGTTATTTCTCTAGACTGCGTTTCTACTGCAAACCAGATTATATGGATGCAGAAACACAAATAATCCACCAGCATCATTGGAAAGACTCTCTTGTCCTGATGGAGCTTTTTCAGGCCTGCAATGCCCATGGCCAGATCAGGGTACACCCAGTAGCTCTGTTTGAGCTCTAACATTAAGGCTAAGTATTCACAAGCCCAGATAAAAACAGTTTGATCCAACACCTATGAAATCCATCTGTGTCCCCATTGAAAGCTACAGGTTGTAGCTGTTTTCACATGCAGGAATTTTTTTCACTCCACTCCCATCACAAAACCTCACAGACCTTCTACAGAAACACCACAGCAATCACAATATTGGCAAAATGCTAAATCAAAACAAATCAAGGCTTCTGGTTCTAAATAAATATTCTTTAAGTGAATTCAGACTCACCTGTATTGAGTTGTCCTTCCTCTGAGGCAGGTCCCTTGATGACTTTTATATATATACATAGGAAAAGGTATCCACCCTATGGGCTTTGGAATGTTAATTCCTACCTATTGTGATGACTGTTTTAAAGTACACTAAGTAATATATATTAAGAGCTTAGAACTCCAAAGATTTCTTTCATCCAAAGATTTGCACAAAGGGTGGTTAGTCAGACTCAGGACAACTCTGTGAAAGGAAATAAACACTGTTTTTCCTCCATCAATAAGCACATTGATGCACAATAAATGACTTGCAGAAATTATTGAAGTGAATCAGTGGCAGAGGCCAGGCAAAAAACAGATCCATGTGGAGTCCCCTTCTTGCTTTGCATCTGGACATATTTCTGGAAGGATTGTTTTTGTCTTGGTTCCTCAATAGTTTCAGATAGGCAAGCTTTTAATTAAGTATCATACTTAATTAAGTACTATAATTAAGTACCATATGAATTTTAACAAGGACAATTAAGGAAAATCCTCCCACAGCTTCATTGTTTACAACAAACCTAATTCAGGACGGGCACTTGACTACTGCACTTGACTACTTTGAGAGCAGAGGCAGGGTCTGAGTTTAAGATGTGGGGAGGCAGGAGGTTGCAGCAGAAATTAGGAGGAAGAAACTGGTCTCCCAGAAACTGGAGTTAGTGGGGACACACAGAGGGGCTCTGAAAGACTTGCACTCTGCAGCCAAGACACTTTTCACATATCTAAAACATCTGAGTTACTTGGAGAAGGAAAGAGAGTTTGGGAGGCCAGTGCCCTTCAATCCTGTTCTGTTTGCCGCATTTTTCTCTTCCCTGGAATCTGCCCAGCATGCATGGAGGTTAGGAAGGCAAAGATTTTCTTCTGGTTGCTTTCTCTTCATTATTTGATGCATCACGAATCCATCTATTGCCATTGCTCTGTGGGACTGATGTGGCAGGTAGGAAATGCTGTTTTGGCCAGTTACTAATGAATATGTTCAAAACCAGGCATTGTTACAGGAGGTTTGGTATAAGGGTTAAGGTGAGTGTTAAATACAGAACTCCTACTGAAACCTTCTCAAGGATTACAATAAAGCTAGGCAATAATTCTTTGTGCTCAAACCTGGTATCTTCTGTGGTATTTTAGACTAGGCTATCATGTAATCCTTTTACTGGGCTTTAACATTTTGAACAGCAGAAGCTGAAGTTTGACATAATGTAAGGTGCACATCATTGTGTTGTCATGGTCTAACACTTAGAAAATGGAAACATCACATGTACAGTGTGCTTTAGTCCTTGCAAAGGCAATGGCTACAGATTAAATGCTGGAGGGAAGAACAAGAAGAAGAAATTATCTGGGAAAAGCTCATACTGCACAGCTTGATGGCAACAAACCCAGTAGGGGTTTATCCTTTCACATTACTTTATCCTCTACAGAACAAGACAATAATTTTGTATTAGAAAGAAATGTATTCTCTCAAATAGATTTTAACAATTTAGTATTAACATCTAGGTATGCTTTATAAAAACAGCATCATGTTAGTGACAAAAACTAATGTTCCTCTGTCACTGAGCCTGTGTTCATGCTGATGACTTGGGACCTTCTTTGAGAAGTAGCCTATAGTCTTAGGTAAGATTTATTTCCTAATGTGTTGTCCACTTGCTGATGGTCCTTGAGATAAAGTTTTTAATTGAAATACTGTCTTTGATACTTATTTTTCTCTTTCATTTTTTACCATGTAATCACATTTTTCTACATTTCACAGTAGTCACATGAATTTCTAATGCCTATTCTGCATTGCATTGCTCCTTATATACTCATTGAGTAGTGGATGTTATGTTTTAAATGCAAATTTTTACCTGTGCTGCTATAAGCTCTTAGGACCCTGGGACAGATTCCTTGTATTCATACAAATTCCTCTGTAAGCCCAAATAAGAGGATACTTTTTCAATTGCTCCTTATATACTCATTGAGTAGTGGATGTTATGTTTTAAATGCAAATTTTTATCTGTGCTGCTATAAGCTCTTAGGACCCTGGAGCAGATTCCTTGTATTCATACAAATTCCTCTGTAAGCCCAAATAAGAGGATACTTTTTCAGCACTGTTATGGACTTCTTCTCACTCAAACACTCTTTATCCACACAAAATTTTCCAGCTGTCTTTTAGAGTAAAAGCCAAAAGCAAGCAGCCTCTATGGAAACATGCTTATATATACTGAATGGAGCAGGGCTCTCAGCTAGTGCATTTGTCCAAGGCACCACCACCTAATGAGAGCTGCATGATGTTAGAAAACACCATCCTCTGCTAAAAGGTCTTTGTGGGGCTGTGTAAACACAGAGCATTGAGTGTAGGTGAGCCACTTAATGAGAGTGGGCTGCATCTGTCACTAGTACAGCACATATTTTTATTTTTATGATAGATTTAATTTGGAAATTTTCATCAGGAGGAATGTCAATACCTATTCTCCTTGTGCTGGGTTTGGTCAGCACAGTGTGTGACTGGGAGGGAAGGGATGGAAAGTCAAGGAAAGAGAAGGAGTTCACTTATCAAATAGTATCTGCATCTTCTTAAATTTAAGAAGCAGGAAAGGTTCCTGGTATTCATGGGCATCCTGGCATTAAGCTGCAGTCAGTGACCACAGACACACTTTCTCTGTGATCTGTCAATGACACTGTTGGTTACATTTAGGTAAAGGGAGAGCAGAGTGGACAAAAAATGTTACCTGACACAATAGCATTTTCCCCTTACATAAACTAGAAGGGACCACTCCTGAGATCTAAAGCACACCAAGGTTCAGTACCAACAGTTCTTTCCTACTCACAGATTTTCACTTTATATTTTTCCCCCTCATGCCAAGGGAAGTTTTTTACTTTCTGCTTGATGGAGAAGTGATCAAAATTGAGAAAGTTTTTTACTTTCTGCTTGATGGAGAAGTGATCAAAATTGAGCATCAGTTTGAAAAGGATTACATGCTGCACATGTTGTTCTCCTTCAGGTTCCAGGTTTTAGCATCACATGTCTCTGGGTGGTGAGAATACCATCTAAAATTACTTGGAATGATACTCACATTAATTATTGTCTCCATTGTGAGTTTCAGCTTGTTTCATAACATCGACAGGGAGATGAATTTCCCAGGTTGTTCCTTTTGTCTGGGATGTAATTACAGGTAACACCAGGTATTCTCAGACTTTGTAACTGCTTTATAGGGAAGCTGCCCATCACTGCTGACGTAGGTTGGATACCTACCACTAGCTGACCAGTTAAAGATGCATCTGTAGCATCATCTCAGACAAATCCTCTACTGTTGTCCTTCCCAGCTTTTAAAGGGACACACCCAATTTAATAGTTACATTTCCATAGGTTTTTCTTTCTAACATCTAGTATACCTGGAAGTAATCATAGAATCATTTAGGTTGGAAAACACCTCTAAGATCATTGAGTCCAGCCATTAACACAGCGCTGCCAATTCTACCACTAAACTACATCCCTAAGCAACACATCTACACATCTTCAAGCCTTCAAACTTGTAAGACATGAGGCTGTCAGTTTTCACTCTATTCAGAAGTAAACAAGTGCGGAGTGTCCCAGTCTTTTCCTTTACCTTGCCTTTCTGAAGAATGCAGATGAGCACTGCAGTAACATCTCCCTCTGCATCTCTCTGGCCTTCACATAAAGTATCTAAGGCCAGAAGTGTTTATGAGAGAGGGAAACAAGTGTTTTTCTTCTGTTCTCTAAAATGAAGTTTTACCACAGGAAAGGTGTCTTAGCAAAAAGATTACTGGATTGGATTCTATGAGAGCTTGTTCACATCCCATCTTAAACACAGGTCTATCACCTAAAGCAAAGTAATTTGAAGTTTGAGCCAAGTTAGGGTCCTGCACATGGGTGCAATCCCAAGCACAAATATAAGCAGGGGGATGAAAGGATTGAGGGCAGCCCTGAGAAGGACTTGGGGATGTTGGTTGACGAGAAATTCAACATGACCCAGCCATGTGTACTCACAGACAGAAAGGCAACTGTGCCTGGGCTGCAGCAAAGTCAGCTGGGGCCAGCTGGCTGAGGGGGGATTCTGCCCCTCCACTACACTCTCATAAGGTCTGGGCTCCCAGAGGAAGAAGGATGGGCAACTGCTGGAGCAAGTCCAGAGGAGGGTCCCCAAGGTGATCAGAGGGCTGGAGCACCTCTCCTATGAAGACAAGCTAGGATTAGGATTTTTCAGCCTGGAAAAGGAAAGACTCTGGAGAGACCTTAGAGCACATTCCACTGCCTAGAGGGACCAAACAAAAGAGTTGTGGAGGCACTTTGTACCAGGGCATGTAGTGATAGGACAAGGAATGGCTTCAAACTCACAGAGGGTAGGTTTGGGTTCGGTACAAGGAAGAAAGTCTTTGTGTGAGACGCTGAAACAGGTTGCCCAGAGAAGTTGTGGGTGCCCCATCCCTGGAAGTGTTGAAGGCCACACTGTCTAGGGCTTTGAGCAGCCTGGTTTCATGGAAGATGTCCCTGCCCATTGGCTTGGAACTAAGTGATGTTTAAGGTCCCTTCCAACCCAAACTATTCTGTGTTTTGATTATAACTATTAAGGATATTTCTGTGTGCCTGGAATTAATGATACAAAATATTGAGGACTGTTAACATTCTAGAAAACAAACAGGAAATCATTTCAGGCTTTTTCTAGGGTGGTGCACTAACAAAAGAAATAATTAGCAAGGAGGAAGTAGATCAGGAAGGTAATTAATGTTGTTCTGTGTATCAATCATCTGATTTTCATACAATGTCATCTTGGGAAAAGCCAATCATTACTGGATATTGCATGGTTTGCAAGGAAGGTAAGTTAATTTTTAAACCATTTTTATAAGAGTCACATGTTGAGGTCATACCACCAGGCGAATGATGCTTGAATGGGCTGTACTCCAAAATGCAAATTATATTAACACAGATTCAACACTGAATTGACACAGCTACATGGCAACTAGACCAGGGCTGGCTTAGTTTAGGCAGCTCAAGCTGTAACAATAAATCAAAACCCAAAAAGTAGCTTTAGAATATGCACCTTATGGGCTCTCTAAAAGTAAGTTTTCTTAACTACTTCCTTTCCACCAACAAGCACCCAGTATTTCTCAGTTTACATGCACTTAAAATTGACCAAATTTGAACAAGGTATTTTTGGGTGGTGCTCTGGGATGTTATGTACTGCTTTAGCCAGTGTGATGTGTTACCTTAAATTGATGAAGTAGGTATGAACATAAGTTGCCTTCTGTAGCATATGATACAGGAACAGTGCTCTGCAGAGGGACAGGGAACAAGGAGCAACTGGCAGACCACAATGTCTTAGATCACCACAATCATATTGGACTGGCTGAATGCTGAAAGCTCCCAAGCATGATCCAAAGAACAAAAGATCTGAGTAAATCTTTTTTGTGTCAAATGTGGTGCAACTTATCTCTATTTATCCTTTAAATGTGGCTCAGGAGCAACATACTCCTCGGAGGAGTTCTCAAGCAGACTACTGTAACATCAAGCACCCTCACCTTCTGATTCTTAGAGGCTTTTCTTCAGCTCCAGATCATAACTCTCAAACTGTCACATGCAGCTCTTCTAAAGAGACAGATCAGCCACTCCTGACAGAATTTTCCTTTCAAAAAGTGGGTTACACAGCTATTGTATATGCAATGAGTACAAAAGCCATGTTATTTCTTCAGCAGCTAGTGCTTGTTTGTGTATATATGAGAGATAAAGTGATAGCATCCCTCACATTGGGTTGAGAACACCAGCTTTAGCTTTACCCTTATGGGGAAGACAAAGGGATTGTCTTAGAAACTGTACTGGTCAAAGCCCAAATTTCTATACAAATTTCTGTAGAAAAGCCTTCATTTTAGTATTTCTAGATGGGGGATAGAAAAAAGGGGATTGCTTGTAACATAGGACTTGACCACATCAATTCATCTTTTGAGTTGGCCTCCCTCCAGCCCTGTGACACTTGCAGGTAATCCAGCCTACTAATGGGGTCTGAGAGCAGCTACTCAGTTGATGCGCTCTTCAGAACTTGTTTCTCATCCTGCCTCTTTCTTGGACCAGACTTCTTCACACTCTCAGATCCCAAAGCTCAGCTCAGCACTTCACTTCGGGGTAGATTTTGCTCTGTTGCTGGAAAAGATTTCTAGCAACAGAGCAAAAGCCAGGATCAGTCAGTGATCAAGGAGTGTCCAGTTGTGTCCGCATAATTCAGCATCAAGAGCTGAACAACTGAGATCTTGTTTGGTTATTATTTTTGCCTTCTGGTTTCTCTTATTATTTCATACCAAGCATCAGGCACAGACTTAAGCACTAATCATTATTAAAATTATATGCTGAGTTCAGGCATAAACCCCATCACTTCCCAAACTATACCTGAACATTTCTCATCTCTTTGTTGTCCAACAACCTTTCATGGCTGACACATGCCAGACCAGGCACCATTTTGTGATTGGTCTAAGCTCAGGAACCTTAGTCAGTCATGTCCTGACATACCTCATCCATCTGTGGTAAGCAAATAATCACATAAAACTTGCATTTCTTCTGCATATTGAGAATCATTAGCATCTCATCAATCAGCCATATGACCAATAGATTGCTGTTGATAAAGTTATCTTTCTGCTTTTCAAGTCTGTACAGCTGACATTTATTTGAGCTGGTGTTCTCTGTATTGCGACACTTGTAGCTTGCTGTCCCAGGTCTTGTATCATGGGCAATTCATTAATTTAACCTGCATGGCAAAATCATTAAACTCTACCACAGAAGAGTAATTTGTTCCTCACTACTCAAACGAGATGAATTTCCCATTTCTTAAAAAACTTCTGGGTTTCAGCAAAAAATAAAATTTTTGGGTTTGTTAATCTCAAAGTAATATGCAGGATGGAAGTGTAACCAAGAGGACTGTACAGTAAA